CTCAAATTTATCAGAAGTATTGAGGACAACACTCTTAAATCTTTTCAGCAAGCAAGGTTGTGTCATCTGCATAATGTAGGTTGTTGATGAGTCTTCCTCCAATCCTGATGCCACATTCCTCTTCATAAAGCCCTGCTTCCTGAATGATCTGCATAAAGATTGAAAAGGTATGGAGACAGAATACATCCCTGACACATTCCTTTGTGGATTTTGAACCATGCAGTATTTCCTTGCTCTGTTCTGAGGTTTCACATTAGCACAATTAAGTGTTCTGAGATTCCCATATTCCTCAAGGTTAGCCACAACTTGTTGTGATCCACACTGTCAAATGCCTTTGCATAGTCAATAAAACACAAATAGACAGTCTTCTGGTACTCTTTGCTTTCAGCCAGAATCCATCTGACATATATTATCTGGCAGTTCTGTGTCAGTGTACTTACTGTTCCAGTCATTTTTGGATAATCTGTTTATAGAATACAATATTAAAATAGAATATATATATATATATAAACTTACACACTCATATACACACTCTCATAGCTGTCTCTAGTGAGGCTATAAATTGCCTAGGAAGAAATTGCACGTCTGTTCCTGCAGAGCTGCTTGGTGGATTCAAACTGCTGGAAAGGTGCTACATTTGGGTTAGCAATGCACCTCCCTACAGAGTATGCCATCAGCGCTCCCTAATAAATTTATATAATGTACATGTAATTTAGACACATGCACTGATCAGTCTTAAATACAAACACAGTGTTCCTTTTCAGAAGCTGGACTGGGAGAGCTTTGAGAGCAAGTCTGTCATAGCTACAGGCATGGAAATTTCACTTCTTGGCTAATGGTAGAGATAATGTTTAAGAAGGGATTCCTTACCAGTACTACCTTATGATTCTCTCTTATTTTAGGCATGCAAGTACATTTTCTTCTAAAGTAGTTCAAGTTCTTATTACTTAAGTATTGGGCATATTCTGTAGCATGTTGCACTATTAACCAAAATATGTGAAAATAAGCTAAAATAGCTATCATCTTGTAACTTCTATCTACTGGTCATTGTTCTCATTTTAGGAGTACCATGAAACATGAAATAAGACTTTTCATCTCCTACGGATAGCTTTCTTGATATTTAGAAAACAACCTCTTTGGTTTTTAAATACTGTTTTCCCAAGGTAACTAGAAATACTTACATTTAACTTTAACCAATTCCTCTGTGATATGGTATCAGTAATAGATTCCAACTTGCTGATATTTAGGAATGTGTTTAGTTTGGCCAAATATCTTTAATACCATTCCTCTCTTTGGAAGCCATGGTTCTGGTGCCCTATTCTGATTTTGGTTGTTTGGCTGGCTTTAATAGTCATGCCATCTTTTGGTTCTTTAAGCTTACTACTATGACTAAAAGTGTTTTTGTCCATGTGTACCATTTTTAACATGGATTAGTCTCTACACTTTAAATATAGTTCTCTAGCAAGCAGCAGATCTGTTCTACTTGTTTAAACATGATGGTTTGGGGTTTGTTGGGTTTTTTTAATAATTGACTGCTGTTTTCTTTGTAGTAGCTTTTCAAAAGAAGAAATAACATACCTTAAGTTATGTGCTTTCCTATTCTTCCCAAGTTTTCATGGAGAGGAGAGATTATTAATTGCCACTCATAATATTGATTCCCACTTATAGAAACCCTCCATCAGGTTTCCAAGGCTGTAAATTGCAGTGGGAGACACCACAAGATTAAACAACTCATTTGAAAAGTGGGCACAGGATATGGACACTTCACCAAAAAAAGACATTCAGATGGCCAACAAACACATGAAGAAATGTTCAAAATCCCTAGCTGTAAGAGAGATGCAAATCAAAACAACTATGAGATACCATCTCACCCCAGTAAGAATAGCAAAATTTAATAGAACAACAAGCAACAAATGCTGGCGAGGTTGTGGAGAAACTGGAACTCTTTTTCACAAATGGTGCAGTCAGTCTGGAAGGTAGTATGGCGCTTTCTCAGAAAGTTGCACATAGAAATACCATTTGACCCAGCAATTCCACTACTTGGAATAGACCCCAAAGAAACCAGAACTGCCACCCACACAGATGTATGCACACCCATGTTTATCACAGCTTTGTTCACAATAGCAAAGAGTTGGAAACAACCTAAGTGCCCATCAACAGACAAATGGATAGAGAAGCTGTGCTATAGTCACACAGTGCAATACTATGCTGCGTTGAAAAACAACTGATGAAATATTATTCCAAATGGATGACCCTGGAGGACATTATGCTGAGTGAAATCATCTCAGTCACAAAAGGACAAATACTGCATAGTGCCACTGTTATAAAATGAGACTGACTAGAGGTTGGGGGGGAGACTGAGAAAGATGGGATAAATTATGTATACTGCATTGAAACAGATAAGAGAGAGAACTGTTTAAAAGCTATGTATGATTAGGCGGTATTGTCATGACATGAGTCCAGAACGAAGGCAGCATAGTGGAATGGACTTGGGCAGAGGGATTGCGTAACAATGAAAGAATTTTTCTTTTACTTTTCAAAGAGAAGAAACTGGATGGGAAGAGTGGTCAGGGGGAAAAGTGCAACAATGAATGGGATGGAAATAAAAATAAATGCATACATACATACATACCAAAAAAAAAAAAAGAATGTATAAGAGCAAAAAATAAAAGACATGTTTTGAATTTAAAAAAAAATTATAGTGGGAGGAAACTGCCCACCTTTCTTCCTCTGAACTCCCAGAAACATGCTGCAGCCTTTGGATTAGCAGCACAGTGCGTAATGAACCAGAGATTTTTGTCTGTTTTGAGGAGTATTAAAGAGCATCCTAATTAAAATGTAAATCTGGCCTAAAGTGCTTTTGTAGTGTCCCATTGCTGTATACTAGACTTTTTACTTTAATATTTTAGTATACTGGTGGTTACTTAAATTTAAAATAAGGTTGAACAGATAAAAATGTCGTGAGCTCAGGGAGCCACTCACTGTGTTTTGGAGCAGAGTGTGTACTTTGCATTCAGCAAAGGAACTGTTGAAAGAATTCCAGGAAAGATTGAGAAGCACTGAGCAGTGAGATTAAACTTATTTTGCCTCCTGACAAGTCTAACTTCTTGAACTGCTTATTAATTGTTGTTGTTGTTGTTATGTGCCGTCGAGTTGCGACTCATAGCGACCCTGTGTACAACAGCCCTAAACTCCGCTCTGTCCTGTGCCAATCGCACTGTCTCTGACACTCCCATCCCAATTATCCCAGTCACTAAATCAATCCACCTCGTAGAGGGCCTTCCTCTCCTGCCCTGTCCCTCCACCCTCCCAAGCATGATGTCCCTCTCCAAGGACCGGTCTCTCCTCACAACATGTCCAAAGTATGTTAGACGGAGCCTCAGAATCCTTGCCTCCAAGGAGCCACCCGGTTTAACCCTTTCCAGGACAAATCTGTTTGTTTTCCTAGCAGTCCATGGTATTCTCAATACTCTTCTCCAGCACCACAGCTCAAAGGCATCAATTTTCCTTCTATCCTCCTTGGTCATTGTCCATCTCTCTGATGCATAACAAGTGATTGTGAAGACCATGGCCTGTATCAGATGCACCTTAGTCTCCAGAGAGACACCATTGCTCTTCAGCACTTTGGAGAGGTCCCTAACAGCAGACTTTCCCATGGCAATGCGCCTTTTAATTTCCTGGCTGCTGGTGCCAAGACTGTTGACTATGGAGCCAAGCAAACTAAAGCTGTGTACAATCTCAGTCTCTTCACCATCCATCCTGATGCTGCCAATTAGTCCAGTGGTGAGAATCTTTGTCTTCTTGACATTGAGCCTCGATCCATATTGTAGGCTGCAGTCCTTGACACTCTGCAGCAGGTGCTTCAGGTTCTCTTCAGTTTCAGCAAGCAGGGTTGTGTCATCTGCATAATGCAGGTTGTTGATAAATCGTCCACCAATCTTGACCCCACATTTCTCCTCATAGAGCCCAGCCTCCCAGATAATCTGTTCTGCATATAGGTTGAAAAGGTATGGAGATAGGATGCATCCCTGGCGTACGCCCTTCCCAATTTTGAACCATGCAGTGTTCCCTTACTCTGTTCTGACGACTGCCTCCTGGTCCAAGTATAAGTTTCGCTTTAGAACGATCAAGTGTTATGGGATTCCCATTTTTCTGAGTCAGCCATAGTTTGTTATGATCTACACAGTCAAATGCCTTTGCCTAGTCAGTGAAACACAGATAGACATTCCTCTGGTATTCCCTGCTTTCAGCCAAGGTCCATCTAACATCAGCTACAATATCTCTAGTACCACGACCCCTTCTAAACCCAGCCTGGACTTCTGGTAGTTCTCTGTTGATTACTTGCACTAATTGTTCTGTATTTCACTCTTTGTGCCATTGCATGAGATCTCACAAACATATTCTAAAGGAAACAATTTTAAGAAGGTTTCTTTGTTCCTAAACTCTTAGTCACAGAGTTATTTCTCTTTTTTGCTGCCACACACTTCGTGCCTATATTCACTCTTGTTGTTGCACTGCTGTAGTGCTCTTATATCTGTGACAAAGGCAGTGGTGCATTGTTAGTGGTTCAAATCCACAAGCAACTCCTCAGAAGAAAGATGGGCAGTCTCCTGTGATATACTGCCTCCTAAAAACCTGCTGGGGGATCAGCTTTGAGTGAATTCCAGCTGTACAGCAGTGAGCAAAGTAGAATATTTACTCCATTACATTGAAATTAATCCTGTAACATAAATGGGTTTGTAATTTACTAGAAACTTATATAGAAACTGTCTTATTCCACTTTTATCTCCAGTACCAAGTATGGCACTTTCTTAAACTAATAGGCTTCGATGTAACTGAGGTTGTGAAAGAACGGCACATTTACTCTAGAATATTTTGGTAGGTAATAGATGCCCTAAGATTTCTTTAAAACAAATTAGAATATTCATTTCAATCAGTACTAAGTATATTTTCTTTTTATTCTTTTGCATGCTTTCTTGGCTGAATGGCAATAGAGAAGAAGAAAATGAGGTAAGTATTATTTAACCAGCTACTCAGTGATTATGGAATTTACTTCTGATTACATTTCTGAGATTGAGTGAAATAAAATAATATTTCTTTTTGCTGAATTTTAGCTTTGGATCTGCAGTTACTATAGTGAACAATTTTGTGTGCTCGCAAAAAATAATGTGTCAATCCTAGAGGTATGTGGTTCAAATCCACCAGATTTTTGCTGGAAAAGGAGGGACAATCTCCTCCTGTACCAGTCAGATCAGATTTGATGGTACACACGCAAAAATAATAATTAAAAAAAGTGTAAGCTTTGAGATTTAAGAACTTTAAGGGGAAAAAAGGAGCCTTTGGTTAAGAGCTTCTATGGTAGATTTCATTTACAATAGGGATTCTGTTTCTTAAAGTAATTGGAAGCTACTCCTCTAATATAATACATATTTAAGCATTTACTTTCCTGCTCAACTGCTTACTGTATAATTTTAAAAATATATTTCAGATTTTTGTCATGATAGATAAGAAAACTTCTCTAATAAGCAAGATTGGTTAAAATAATGCCAATTAGAATAACTTGATGATGCCAAGAGTACATCTTAAATCTAGACTGGGGTTTGTTTTGTAAATTTTACTGTTTTTTTCTACACCTCGGCTGTGCCTTTAACTTATAAAAGCCTTTAGTGGTTTGGCAAATAAAAGAGGGAGTAATTTTCTTCTGAGATGTCATTGCATGTATTCACAAGTTAACTTTATGTCATTGCTTTTTTTTAGTTGAAATGCTCAAAATTTTTCACATAAATTAATGATAACTCTTTATGTTGTTTTGGCTTATGAAAAGTTTCATAGGAACTGTATTTCAAACAGAAGAGGACATCTAAACTTTGTAAATGTTACTTACATAGTTTCAGACTATAAATTAGCAGGGCCTGAGTCTGTGGTATCTAGGCAAAGATAGTAGCAGTGTACCAGGGCAGAGTACTTCCCAGGAGAGTAGAAGGCTTGGTCTTCATTGGCTTATATCATGTGATCATCTGTAAAATGAATGAAGTGAAAACTTCCTAAATGTGGAAGTCCATCATTACCTAGGGTTCTTGCTTTGAAAAAAGAAAAAGTAAATTCCTTCCATTACACTTACACCTATTGAATTGATACTCCCTGGAGTGTGCGTTACTGATCTTTGGGTTTTTTTTTTCACTGACTGTTTATATCAAGCCCTTCGTGTGATTGTATATTAATGCCTGGAAAACACTGGTTTTGATGGCTTCTGGGTTTTTTTGGTTTTTTTTTTTTTTACATTACAAACAGAATACAGGAATGACTTATTTTTGGTATTCCTTTTATCTCTATAGATATTGTTTTATAAAAAGACATCATAAAATGCATGTAAGATTTTACTCCTTTTTTTTTAAAATTGTATTATTTTTACGTGTACCACCAAATCAGATCTGTTACAGGAGGAGATTGCCCCCTCCTTCTCCAGCAGAGCATCTGGTGGATTTGAATCACGTACCTCTGGGATTCCAGTGCAGCATCTTGCCTCTAGGCCACCAGAGCTCCCTAAGATTTTTATTCTTAATAAAAATTTTTCCTGTAAAACCATTGTAAAATTGGGTAAAATTCTTAATGTATGGGGAAAAAAAGACAGTGGAAAAATACTGGTCTAGTGTTCCAGCACTTCATTTATACTATTGTCTGTACTTTTGAGCATATTAAATAGCTTTACAATAAAGACTTTTTTTAAACTTCCTAGGCAGCTTAGAGAAATTTATATCATTTCTCATTAAAAGAGGCTTCTCATTTTCCTGACTTGTAAACTTTTTAAAGTGTGATACCAGCTGTTTGTAACTGTTTATTATAGTAGTAACTACTTGTTTTGTTTATTTATAGGCAAAGATTGAAAATGTGCAGAAAACCAGTTTCATTAAAGGACCAATGTTCAAAGGTGTGGCTTCCAGTAGATTTTTGCCCAAAGGCACCAAGACAAAAGTTAATTTGGAGGAACAGGGACGACAGAAAGTATCATTCAGCTTCAGCCTTACAAAGAAAACTTTGCAGAACCGATTTCTAACTGCACTTGGAAATGAAAAGCAAAACGATGCTCCAAACCCCTCAGCGATACCTCTTCAAGCAGATTCCACCCCTAAAATGAAAGTGGATGTTGGAGATACTTTATCTACCATAGAAGAATCTTCTCCACCAAAATCAAGGGTGGAATTGGGAAAAATTCATTTTAAAAAAACATCTTCTTCATGTAACATCCAGGCCACTGCTGACTGCTGCCACAGCAGTAACGTCACCACCTCCTCCCACAGTACCATTACCAGCAGTCCTAGCAGAATCAACGACTGTAGATTCACCACCTCCATCTCCACCTCCACCACCTCCACCTCCTCAAGCCACAACATCCTCACCACCAGCACCTGTAACAGAGCCAGTGGCCTTGCCACACACACCAGTCACAATTCTGATGACAGCACCAGTTCCTTCACCTGTAGATGTAGTAGTGAAAACTCTGAAAGAATCACCACTCGCTGTCGGACCAGAATCTTTTGAAGTGGACACTAAACGGGACACTGTATCTAATAGTTCAGAAGAACACCTAACTCAGAATTTGAATGAGCAGACAGATATTCCCTCACAAAAAGAAGATTCCCATATTGGGAAGGAAGAAGAAGTTCCAGATAGCTCCAAAAGTAGTCTGTCCTCTAAAAAGTCAAGTTCTAGGAAGAAGACTTCACAATCTGAAGGCACCTATTTTGGTTCAGAATCTGATGAAGATTCTGTACGGACTTCTTCAAGTCAGAGATCACATGATTTAAAATCTTCAACATGCATGGAAAAAGAAAGAGAATCTAAAAAGAGTTTAGCACCTTTAAAAAGTGAGGATTTAGGGAAATCGTCACGATCTAAAACTGAGAGAGATGATAAATATTTTAGCTACTCAAAACTTGAAAGAGATACTCGGTATATATCTTCCCGGTGTCGATCTGAGAGAGAGCGAAGGCGGAGCAGATCTCGTTCTAGATCTGACAGAGGCTCTAGAACAAGTTTATCCTATTCTCGATCAGAACGATCCCATTATTATGAGTCTGATTGTCGCTACCATAGGAGTTCCCCTTATCGAGAGAGGACACGCTATTCTCGGCTATATACAGATAACAGAACACGAGAAAGTTCTGACTCAGAAGACGAGTATAAGAAAACATACTCAAGACGCACCTCATCTCATTCCTCCTCTTACAGAGACCTTAGGACATCATCATCTTATTCTAAATCTGATCGGGACTGTAAAATTGAGTCCTCTTACATAGAGACAGAAAAAAGAGGGAAGTATTCTTCAAAACAAGAAAGAGAATCCAAAAGGACTTCAGAAAACGAAGTAATTAAAAGGTGTTCTCCCTCTAATGATCTGGGATTCCGACGGGGGTCAATGTATTCTAAGCATGATAGCAGTGCTGCTCATTATAAATCTACCCCTTCAAAATCCAAGTCAGATAAATTGAAAAATTCTTTCTGTTGTACAGAATTAAATGAGGAACTCAAACAGTCACATTCTTTTAGTTTACAGACTCCTTGTTCAAAAGGTAGTGAAGTAAGAATGATAAATAAAATTGCTGAACGAGAAAAGACTGGATCTCCATCAAATCAATTGAATGATTCACCTACTTTTAAAAAGCTAGATGAATCTCTTATTTTTAAGTCTGACTTTATAGGACATGATAGCCATGATAGTATTAAAGAATTAGACTCTTTATCTAAAGAGAAGCATGATCAGCTGAGAACTTACTGTCCTATAGAACTAAATATAAATGGATCTCCTGGAGCAGAATCAGATTTGACAACGTTTTGCACTTCTAAAACTGAGGCTGTTTCAGTGTCTTCTGATGATAGTGCAACTGGGTTGGAGGTATCCCCTTTAGTCAAAGCATGTATGCGTTCATCAAATGGATTTCAGAATATTAGTAGATGTAAAGAAAAATACTTGGATGCTACTTGCTTGCAGCATAGTAAGTCAGAAAGCCCATTTAGAGAAACAGAACCTCCAGTGTCACCACACCAAGATAAACGCATGACATTGCCAGCTCTGACGGATTATTCCAAAACAATAGTTAAAGAACCAGTTGATATGAGAGTTTCTTGCTATAAAACCAAAGATTCAAATAAATACTGTATTTCAAACAATAGCAATCCTTCTTTGTGTCATTCTGAAGTTGAAAATATTGAACCTTCAGTTCTGAAGCTTTCTTCTCATAGCTTTATGAATAGTCATTTGGAATCAAAAACCGTTATATGTGATAATAGAAATCTGGCAGAACAGAACTCAAAACTTGCATATGAAGACTATAAGCAGTGTATTGGTACCTCTGCTTCAGCTTCTGTTAATCATTTTGATGATTTATGTCAGCCTGTAGGGAGTTCACGTATTGCTTCATCTCTTCAGAGCCGTCCACCAGGAATAAAAGCAGACAGTTTAACTCTCTTGCAGTATGGAGAAAAAACACCTCCAATTTTGGATTCTGTGCTAATGAGTAAAAACACAGAGTTTAGGAAACATTCAGGGGAAGAAATACTAGAAGTGGATAGTGGACTTCCTGATTCGAGAAGGGACTTTTCTTCCTGGGAAAATAGACATGATAATGGGCTATCTGGAAAATGTTTGCAAGAGGCACAAGACGAAGGGAATTCCATATTGTCTGATAGAAGAGGAAGACTGGAAATCTCTTTAGATGAAGGAGAAAGAGGACATGCACATATTTCAGATGATTCAGAGGTTGTATTTTCTTCTTGTGATTTGAATTTAACCATGGAAGACCATGATGGTATAACTTACACCTTAAAATGTGACAGTAGTGGCCATGCTTCAGAACTAGTGTCTACTGTCCATGAAGATTATTCTGGCTCTTCTGAAAGTTCAAGTGAAGAAAGCGATTCAGACGATACAGATTCTGATGACAGCAGTGTTCCTAGAAACCGTCTTCAGTCTGTTGTGGTTGTGCCAAAGAATTCTACCTTGCCGATGGAAGAAACAAGTCCCTGTTCTTCCCGGAGTAGTCAGAGTTACAAACACTATTCTGACCACTGGGAAGATGAGAGATTGGAGTCAAGGAGACATTCATATGAGGAAAAATTTGAGATCACAGCAAATAAAATTTGTCCACAGGCTGAAAAACTCTTTCTTCATAAAGGTGTAGAGAAGAACCCAGAAATTTCTTTTATACAATCCAGCAGAAAACAGATGGATAACCACCTTCCTGAAATTCATCCTCAGAGTGATGGAGTTGACAGTACTAGTCATACAGATATGAAATCTGACCCTCTAGGCCAAACAAATTCAGAAGAAATTGTAAAAGTAAAAATAGCTTCTAGGCAGCAAGAAGAACTGCCACTTTATTCTTCTGATGATTTTGAAGATGTCCCAAACAAGTCTCACCAGCAGACCACTTTCCCTAATAAACCAGATAGTAGACTGGGGAAAATGGAGGTGAGTTTTTCTTCTTGTGAGATAACACGTGTGGATGGCTCCCACTCATCAGAAGAGCTGAGAAACTTAGCGTGGGACTTCTCTCAACCAGAAAAGCCCACTACCACCTATCAGCAACCTGATAGCAGCTATGGAGCTTGTGGACCCAAGTATCAGCAAAGTACAGAGCACTATGGTGGGACACGTGGTTACTGGCAAGGCAATGGCTACTGGGATCCAAGATCAGCAGGTAGACCTCCTGGAACTGGAGTTATCCATGACCGAACTCAAGGGCAAGTACCAGATTCCCTAACAGATGACCGTGAAGAAGAAGAAAATTGGGACCAATGTGGTAGATCCCACTTTTCAAACCAGTCCAGTAAATTTCTTACGTCTATTCAGAAGGACAGAGGGTCAGTGCAGGCGCCTGAAATCAGCAGCAATTCCATTAAGGAGACTCTAGCTTCGAATGAAAAGAAAGATCTTATGAAAAGCTTAGAAAAAAATGATATAAAAGATAGAGGGCCTCCCAAAAAAAGGAGGCAGGAATTAGAGAGTGATTCTGAAAGTGATGGTGAACTTCAGGACAGAAAGAAAGTAAGGGTGGAGGTAGAGCAGGAAGAGACTACACCACCTCCGGGCTCTGCACTGGTTGGACCTTCCTGTGTCATGGATGACTTTAGAGATCCCCAGCGATGGAAAGAGAGTGCCAAACAGGGCAAGATGCCTTGTTACTTTGATCTTATTGAAGAAAATGTTTATTTAACAGAGAGGTAAGCCTAATTAATGCTTGTTTGACAAATTTTAACCTATTTTTGTTAAAATGTGTGTATATAGGGAGACGATAAATACACTATTTAATAATTCAGACTACTCCTCCCCTGTAAAAAAAGATCTCCAATCTTGAGGGTTTTTTGTTTGTTTGTTTGTTTGTATCTCATTTCATTACTACTTCGATTTTTTTTTATTTTTTTACTAGAAAAAGGTTTATTAAGACAGAGGCTGGTAAGTAGGCTTTGTAAAAGTTAAAAAGAAAAAGGGAGGGAAACGATCCCTTGAAAGATAAGGTTGAAACCAAATCTTACAGCATGCTTCCAGCAGAAAAGGAGAGAAAAAGTACTCTTTTGATTCTTAAAGTATGATTTAAGCCAGTTTTCCCTCCAGCTAATTCTTTTTACATGTATGACAGAAAATGAAATAACCACAAGAAAATAGTTCTGTGAAAAAAAGTCTTTTTCAGTAGTCATAAAGCATTCTTATAGAATAGAGTTGCTCAATATCCTTTAACCTTCCCTTCTTGTTAAGTGTGGAGTTATACTGTTAACCCTAAGGCTGTTAGAATCCTCCAATGGCTCTGTAGGAAAAAAGATGACCATTCTTTTGTTGATTCACAGCCTTGGAAACCCAGTGGAGGGTCAGTGCCGATAAAAAGAATTAAAAATGTGTTTTAAAGTTTATTTAAAAAAGAAAAGCCCATACTTTTATTTTCCTACCCGTCTCCACCTTTTTAAAAATGACCCTCCCGATAATCCTAGTTCTCATTGCTTTAAGTAAGCATTCAGAGCTTAAAAAAGAACAATAAAAATCTGTGAACAAGATTTTTTAAAAAGTAATTAGGTTCTGCTAGAAGTTTATCCCTTTTAAAAAGATTTTCTTATTTTAAGATGTCCAGGGAAGCCACTTAACAATTATAATCATTTCTGTGCAGTTGTGATTTAGGTTTAAATTAAAAATATTGAATACTTTAGGAATTACATTAATAGACCAATGAAATTTAAGAGGTCCTAGTAAAAGTAAATAAACCTAATTAGATTGATCTTCCAGGGTTTAAAAATAGATAGATTTGATTGTTCGAGGTATTAGAAGGCCTTTCCAGGCGAGCTCTGGTGGCCTAGTGGCAGGAAACTGTACTGCAATCCCAGAGGTGCGCAGTTCAAATCCACCAGATGCTCTGCTGAAGGAGGAACAATTGCCTCCTGTACCAGTCAGATACAATTTGATGGTACACACATAAAAAAAAAAAAAAAGAAAAGAAGAAGAAGAAGGCCTTTCCAGAGTTGAAAACGTTTATATATACAGTATTTTTGAGCCCCTGTTGTGTGTGAGGCCTTGAGGAGCCAACAAGAAGACAATTGTAAAATTAGTAGAATGAAAAATACATTTTTATGTTGAATATCTGTAATAATCTTTGCCCTTTAGTCCTAATCTGGCTCTCTGGAGTAGTATAATAAAGACCTAAAGCTGCTGCTGATTCCTCAGCATTACAGTTCTTTCATACCTGTTTTCACCTCTTGTCATCTTTGTACTCATTAAGCATATCTGGATGGGTCGTTCTTTTTACACAAATTTAATTGAAATTATCACCACACATTTAATGAAACTAGAATGAGGATAAAACATACAGTGAAGATTAAAGTAGATTAGAATTAGATTAAGATAGCCACTTAGAGCAGCCTTGTTTCTCATTGTCTGATAGTTGATGAGTTAGTTATAATTCCCTAATCTTCTTAAGAAGGATCTGTTAGTCTACCACCCTTAACTTTTTTTCCCCAATAAAAATGAGGGCAACAAAGAAGCACATTTTCTTTCTTGGTAAATTTTGGCACAGATTTTTATTAACCCAGTCCATCCTGAAAAATTTTCTCATCTAGAGTTGGCTTGTCTACATTAGGAAACTTCAGTCCTCTGGACCTTACCTAATTTTTATGTAGCGATCCTTTTTTCTCTTCCATTAATTATTCAGTTTTTTTAAAAAAACAAGGTTTTTGTAAATATGTTACTGACAGATTCTTTTCTAAGATTTTAGTAAAAGTTAATAAATACTCTTAAATTCAAGACTTTTCAGCATGTCCTTTTCTTCAGCCTTGTACCCCAGTTATTATTTGTTCATGAGGACTGGTTCTGAAATGACTATTTGAAACTCATGAGCTTTCCTTTTCTCTTGAGCCAAATATATGCGCTGACACCTGAAATAGATTATAATCTGAGGCTTAAGTAACACGATTTTGTAGATCAGAGCTGAGTTCCAAAATTATAAACTTCAGCTCGTTGTCTTCTGGCCTGTCAGGACTAAGCTTACCTCCTCTTATCTTTTTGTAGTATAGTTCTTAGTGTTTTCAGTCTTAAAATAGCTGATGATACTGTCTTTCCTTTGATTGGTCAACATGTAAGAATCATGAAACTAATTGTATTTACCATATGATCATGAGTACTGTATCATGACCACGAGATTATTTTTTTTTAATATGTTTCTCTAAAATTTTCCCAATAGAAAGAAGAATAAATCCCATCGGGATATTAAGCGAATGCAGTGTGAATGTACACCTCTTTCTAAAGATGAAAGAGCTCAAGGAGAAATAGCATGTGGGGAAGACTGTCTTAATCGTCTCCTTATGATTGAATGGTAAGTAAATTAAAGAATGTTTTGCTTTATTCACTTTAATTACATTATCTAAATAGTAAAAAATTATTAATGAACAGAAGAATCTTTTTGTTGATCATGGAGTTGTTTTTGTTTTTTTTTTTAAAAAGAACATTTATTGCTGTGAATTGACAACATTTTGAAAATAACCAACTACCCAATAAGAGGAAATAGCACTCTAGGCACAAAATATCACACCTCCTTCAAAACTTGTCGCAACAAAAATTTCTAATAATGTATGTTATTTATATTGTAAAAAGAAAGCATAATATGCAGGTCAGTACCATTAGCAGTTTTGTTTTCATTCCAGCTGTCTTAAACATGACTAGAAAAATAATTAACAAAATATCAGCAGTGGAATTGTTTGGGAATTGAAAAAAACAAATGTTTATTTTCTCCTTTATTCTAATACAGAACCTTCTATGATAAACATTTGGCAATTCTGATTAAATTTTCATGTTCTCTTTCATGTGTTGAGAAGAATCGGCATTTTATAAATACCCACTCTCCAAGTCACACCATCCCCTGTGGAGATTCCACATTGAGGCTATGACCTGGGAATTAGTTAGTTCTCAAACCAAGGGCCACTGTATTTAGAGTAAAAATTTCCTGCAGAGATACTATAAAGGACTCCAGTGAGGGTTTTAAGTTGTATTCAAAATCCAATAAAAGTGCTACAGGTTGGAAAGCTGAATGCAGCCAGTCTCCATGTTAAGGGCAAGATCTGAAGGAGTAATTTTAAACAAATTATCAGGTGTGTAAAAGAAAACACATGAGAATACATGTTTCTTTTCCTTGCATTCTGATTTTATAGTAAAATCTATAGAAGCTCGAACCAGTATAAGGTAGAAACCTATCAGAACAGAAAAATGCAAATAGTAATAGAAAACTTAAAACTACATCCTTTCAAAATAGAAAATCTTGAAAATCTTACCATTTAAATAGTAATAGAAAACTGTTAAAACGGAATCCTTTCAAAGTTGAAAATCTTGTGAGGCTCAGAAAAGAAACAAAACAGCGCTTTGAGTTGTCTCTCATAGGTTTCACTTGTAGTAAATAGATTAAACTACCTGATATAATAAGTGTTCTGCAAATAATTGTTATTCATTCTAACATAGTAATGTTTTATCCCATCCTCCTCTTTTTCTCTTTGTAATGTGTAAGTCCTGGAAATAAATGCTTTTTTGGCTTGGGGCTAGGAGTTTTGTTTTGTTTAATATTTAACTGTATGAAAATAATATTGTGAAATGACAAAATGTGAACTCTCTCTTTAACCTTGATGTCTGTACTTAAAGTATTGTTCGAGGAAAATTTTAATGTACATGCTAACATAGATATTTCCTATTTTAATGTTTAGAAAGCATTTTACTATATCTACATTCCCAGATTGTATCTCTCCCCACTGAATAAAATATTTTAAAAATGATTCAGATTTCTGCATATAGATATACCTAAATTTGCACCTTGTCTTGCATTACGTATTCTATTCATAGTTAGACCATAATTATTGAATTAATCTACTTGTAGACATTTGCTTGCATATTTAATAAACAGTAAACATTCTGAAGCTTTGTCTGACATACTTTGGACATGTTGCAAGGAGGGACCAGTCCTGGAGAGGGCTGGTATGCTTGGGAGGGTGGAGGGACAGTGTAGGAAAGGAAAACCCTTGATGAGATGGATTGATTCAGTGACTGGGATAAGGGGATAGATGTGTCAGAGACAGTAAGATTGACACAGGATAGAGCAGAGTTTAGGGCTGTTGTACATAGGGTTGCTATGAGTTGCAGGTGACTCAAGGGCACTTAACAACAAACATTTACAAAATTTGCTATCTTTCATTAATAATTGATTAAAATTATATGCTTTTTAAATAAAGAATATCCATAGTATAAGTTGTTGTTGTTATGTGCCGTCGAGTTGTTTGCGACTCATAGCGACCCTGTGCACAACAGCCCTAAATCCTGCTCTATCCAGTGCCAACCACACTGCCTCTGACACACCCATCCTGATTACCCTAGTCACCGAGTCAGTCCATCTCATAGAGGGTCTTCCCCTCCTGTGCCGTCCCTCAACCCTCCCAAACATGATGTCCCTCTCCAAGAACCCGTCCCTCCTGGCAACATGTCCAAAGTATGTCAGACGAAGCCCCAGAATCCTTGCCTCCAAGGAGTAGCTTGGTTTAATCCTCTCTAAGATGAATCTGTTTGTTTTCCTGGCAGTCCATGGTACATTCAGTACCCTTCTCCAGCACCACAGCTCAAAAGCATCCACTCTCCTTCTGTCCTCCCTAGTCATTGTCCAACTCTCTGATGCATAACAAGCGATTGCAAAGACCATGGCCTGTATCAGGCGCACCTTAGTCTCCATAGAGACACTGTTGCTCCTGAGTACCTTTGAGAGGTCCCTAGCAGCAGACTTTCCCATCGCGATACGCTTTTTGATTTCCTGACTGCTGGTGCCAAGAGTGTTGACTGTGGAGCCGAGCAAACTGAAGCTGTGAACACTCTCAATCTCTTCGTCATCTATCCTGACGCTGCAAATTGGTCCAGTGGCGAGAATCTTTGTCTTCTTGACATTGAGCCTCAGTCCATACTGATGGCTGCAGTCCTTGACCCTTCGCAGCAAGTGCATGAGGTACTCCTCAGTTTCAGCAAGCAGGGTTGTGTCATCTGCATAACGCAGATTGTTAATAGATCATCCACCAATCCTGATGCCACAATTCTCCTCATAGAGCCCAGCCTCTCGGATAATCTGCTCTGCATACATGTTGAAAAGGTATGGAGACAGGATGTATCCCTGGCGCACACCCTTCCCAATTTTGAACCATGCAGTGTTACCCTGCTCTGTTCTGACTACTGCCTCTTGGTCCAAGTATAGGTTTCACATTAGCACAATTAAATGTTCTGGGATTCCCATTCTTCTCAGAGTCAGCCACAGTTTGTTATGATCCACACAGTCAAATGCCTTTGCATAATCAATGAAACACAGACATTCTTCTGGTATTCTCTGCTTTCAGCCAAGATCCATCTAACATCAGCAACAATATCCCTAGTACCACGACCCCTTCTAAACCCAGCCTGGACTTCCGGCAGTTCTCTGCTGATGTGCTGTTCTAATCGTTTTTGGATGATCTTCAGTAGAATCTTGCTTGCATGTGAAATCAATGACACTGTTCTGTAGTTTCCACACTCAGTTGGGTCACCTTTCTTTGGAATGGGAACAAATATAGATCTCTTCCAGTCAGTTGGCCAAGTGGTTGTTCTCCAGATTTCTTGGCACAACCTGGTGAGCACATCCAGGGCAACATCTGTTATCTGGAATACTTCAATTGGTATACCATCTATTCCTGGGGCCTTATTTTTTGCTATTTCCTTCAAAGCAGCTTGAACTTCTTCCTTCATCACCATAGGCTCTTGCTCATATGTTATTTCTTTAAATTCCTCTGTATCTGCCAATTCCTTTCTATATAGTGACTCAGTATATTCCTTCCATCTTCTTTTAATATTTCCTGGATCGTTTAATATTCTGCCCAAAGCATCCTTGATTACAGCAACTCTAGGTTTATTTTTAATGTGAAAATGTATTCTTTCAGAGCTTATTTTTCTTTATGCTCATGTGTGAAACTCAGCTCATTGCAGTTGAATCAGAACCAACTGACAGCCGACCCTCCAGTGGGTTTTCAGAGGCTGTAAATCATATGGAAAGCGATTACCCACCTTTTCCTCAAAGGGTAGCTAGTAGATTTCAGCCACCTGGTTTTGCGTTGGCAGTGCAAGTCCCTAACCACTCAGGTACTAGAGCTTCCCTACTCATGTTATAGTATTACAAAAATAAAATAGGCACTCCTCAAATACATAAAAAGATGAAGTATTTTTGGTATTCCTCATTTAATCTAAAAGTAGAGATGATAGAACTCATAAGAAGAGGAGACATAGAATTAGAACTATGCTTTTCTGGCTTGGTTGTGCTGGTAGCGTAGTAGTTAGGGGCTGTACTGCTAACCCAAAGACAGCCAATTTGAACCCATCAGCTGCTCTGAGGGAGAAATGTGTACAGTCTCCTCTCGTGCCATTTGCAGCCTCTGAAAACCAACTTGGAGGGTCAGTCAGCTGTGAGTGAGCCAGTTCTAACCCAGCAGCACATAACAATAAACGAATCTGAAGGACAAAATTTTTTTCTTCATACTAGTCTCAATTCACAACTAGTCGTAGTTCTCTGTTGCCTTTAAAGTTAGGTTCAATATTAGCTTGATATTCACAGCCCTTCAGAGTATATCATCATCTTGCCTTGCCTTCTTCAGTAACTCCCTTTTGTATCACTTTTCCTTACTGCTTCGCCCCACTCTTCCAATAGACATTGTTTACTCTTTTGTATACAAACAGGCTATCGTTTTTGTCCATATACCGTGCATCTGTATAGATTCCATTTTAATCTTCCGTAAGAGCTTTCCACCACAGCTCAAAGGCGTCAATTCTCCTTCTATCCTCCCTAGTCATTGTCCAACTCTCTGATGCATAACAACAAGAGCTTTCCATGTTTACCTCATTTTAAAGTGAACATTCAGCCCTTTGAGCCACTCTAAAAACATTGACTACCAATTTGATAATGTGTGGTAATGTATTGGAAATGATTTTGCAGTTTCTCTTGTTTGAATCAGTACTAAAAGCTTTTGTATCTGCCAGCTTTGGAATTCTGAGAATTTATTGAATGTGTGTTTTTACTATTTTTGCTAGGAGATGAGCCTTGCTGCTTTTTATTGTATCTCTTCTGAGCAAGAGTATATTTAATAATTACTTTTACTTAATGCAAATGTGTATCTTCTGCTGCATCCAAAAGACCAAATTAATAGCATATAGAATGGGAAAATAAAGGAGGAAGGTAAAGGAATAGGGTATAATTTACTGCAGCGGAGTTGTCAGAGAACTACATGCTTATGTGCAGCCTTACATGCAGTAATATGTCTAGGAACCTAGGTTGTAAAAGACCTTTTCTGTCATGACAGGATGACAAAGCTGTTCTGTGGCTATGATCTCGACAAGTGACAGTGTAGACAGTTCTGGCAAATCTCATTCTGGGGACTGAAAAAATGAAACTGAAGGTGACTTACTTTGGAGTTAACTATACACATGTCCCCATATGTTTAGTTAACCCACCAGTGCACTCTCAGATACTTATCCTAGGGTGTTCTGGTAGCCTGTTAGTAAGCAGCTGCACTGCCAGCCCATAGTGAGGTGGTTCAAATCCAGCTGCTCCTCTGAGGAAGTAAGATGGGCAGTCTCCTCCTATGCTATTTACTGCCTCCACAGTTCTGCTGGATGGTCAGCTGTGAGTCGGATGTTTTTGGTGCTTTTGCTCCTTAGAAGAATTAATTTCCATTCATCTCTTATTTCAGTTCCTCTCGGTGTCCAAATGGGGATTATTGCTCCAACAGACGGTTTCAGAGAAAACAGCATGCAGACGTGGAAGTGATCCTCACAGAAAAGAAAGGCTGGGGCTTGAGAGCTGCCAGAGATCTCCCTTCGTAAGTTACTTGTTTGCAATTACATACATTTCATTTTTGTGTCTATGAACTTGGTAAGATACTTTCTAGGAAAGCAGTTTATAATGCTACACTGAGATTTAAGAAAGCATATTTGCAAAATGACCATTTGGTAGGCGGACTGAAAATGAGAAAATTTACTTTCATTTTAGGAAATTAAAAATATAAACAGAAACTTCTGATAAATGTGCATGTGTCTAAATATAAAAGATTTTTGTCAGTTGTGGCATTTTGAATTAGGCAAGTTCTTACTTGTCTAGTAGTTCAATTTCTTTTCGTTCCAAATTACTTAACTGTATGTAAGTTCTAGAATTTCTCTTAACAAGGAATGGGTAAATGAGTGAAGACAGACTATTAGCCTATATAAAATTGTGTTGGAATTAATAGAAAAAAAGTAGAGAATTAAAACTCACTTCATGAAAATACTCGGTGAAAATTTGTTGCATGAAGAAATGCTCCCCTCCACCTAATTCACTTTATTTTCTGCTGTATTCAATATTTCTTTGAAACTCTTGCTTTTCTAATATATGTTGTTGTTATATGCCATCTGAGTTGCTTGTGACTCATAGCTACCCTATGTACAACAGCCCTAAACCCTGCTCTATCCCTTGCCAGTCTTATTGTCTCCACCATGCTCTTCCCCATTACCCCAGTGACAGAAATCAATCCATCTCATCAAGGGTCTTCCTCACCTGCGCAGTACCTCCACCCTCTCAAGCATGATGTCCCTCTCCAAGAACTGGTTGCCTCTCTGCAACATGTCCAAAGTATGTGAGATGAAGCTTCAGAATCCTTGCCTCCAAGGAGCAGCCTGGCTTCACCCTCTCCAGGACAAACTTGTTTGTTTTCCTAGCAGTCCATGGTATATTCAGTACTGTTCTCCAGCACCACAACTCCAAGGCATTCTCCTTCTATCATCCCTAGTCATTGTCCAGCTCAGTGATGCATAGCAAGTAAAGGCAAAGACCATGGCCTGTATCAGGCACACCTTAGTTTCTAGACTCCTCAGTACCTTGGAGAGGTCCTCTGACAGCAGACTTTCCCAGTGCAGTTCATCTTTTAAAATTCTGGCTGCTGGTACCAAGAGTGTGGATTGTAGAGCCAAGCAAACTGAAGCTGTCAACAGTCTCAATCTCATCAGCATCTATCATGATGCTGCCAATCGGCCCAGTGGTGAGAATCTTTTTCTTGACACTGAGTTTCAGTTCATATTGAAGGCTGTAGTCCTTGACCTTCTGCAGCAAGCACTTCAGGTCCTCAGTTTCAGCAAGCAAGGTTGTGTAATCTGCATAGCGTATTGTTGATTAAGTCTATCTCTGATCCAGATGCCACACTTCTCTCCTCATAGAGTCCAGCCTCCCAAATAATCTGTTCTGCATATAGATAGAAAAGATATGGTGAAAGAACACATCCTTGATGCATACCCTTCCCAATTTTGAACCATGAAGTTTTTCCATGCTCTATTTTGACAGTTGCCTCCTGGTCCAAGTAAAAGTTTCGCATAAGCACAATCACAATCAAGTGTTCTGGGATTCCCCATTCTTCTCAGAGTCAGCCACAGTTTGTTGTGATCCACACAGTCACATGCCTTTACAGTCAGTGAAACACAGCCATTCCTCTGGTACTCTCTGCTTTCAGCCAAGATTCTGTCTGACATTAGATATAAACCCCTAGTGCCACGGCCTCTTCTAAATCCAGCCTGCATTTTAGGCAGTTTTCTGTTGATGTGCTGTTCCAGTAGTTTTTGGATGATCTTCAGCAGAATCTTGCTTGTGTGTGATATCAATGATATTCTAATATATAGCATGATAATTATTCTCTTAAAGAGCATGTACATTTAATGCCTTTTCATTAAACGTGTAGACAGACGTTTCATTGAAAACTTTAAAAACACATTAAGGAAGTATTAAGTATTAGTATTTGCTGTATTCTTGTGCTCCTTAGGGAGTCCTGGTGGCTTAGTGGTAAGGAATTTCCCTGACAACGCATAAGTAAGTGGTTCAAATCCACCAGCTGTTCTGTGGGAGAACGATGAGTAGTCTTTTCCTCTGCAATTTATTGCTTCTGAAAACCTGCTGGAGGATTAGCTATGGATCGGTTCTTAGTAGATGGCATATAACAACAATTATTGTTGAAACTTTGTTTTGCATACTTTGGTTGCATACTTTTGGATGAGAAGGGCCAGTTCTTGGAAAAAAACATCATACTAGGAAATCTGAAGGGTCAGTGAAAGAGAAAGACCCTCAGTGAGATGGATTGACAGAGTGCCTGTCACAGTGGACTTGAGCATGACGGAGATCCTAAGGATGGGTTAGGATAGGGCAAGGTTCAGATCTCTTGTTCAGGGGGTTGTTATGAGTGGTTACTCAGTGATACCTAACAACAGCAGTGTGTGTGAGAGAGAGAGAGAGATTGTGGCACAAAGCATTTATATCCACTATATAATTCTCTAATTTTGCTTTTGAAGTTTGATGTTTCAATATAGTTATTCTTATTCTTTGTTTTATCATTATCATGTACACACAATACATACCACATTTCATTAGTTTCTTCACATGTACTTCAGTGAACGTTTTTTAACTCTTTCCCCAAATTATCCTGCCATCATCAGCATATGTTTAATATTACTCCAAGTAAACTTGTTCATTTCACTTTCTTAGCAGCTCTGGTAACTACTTTTTATTTTTGCAGATTTCCTAATTTGAAAAAAGTAACATCATGGGGGGAGGGGTGGGCAGGGAGAAAAGTGCAACAATGAATGAATGGAAATCCAAAGTCATTAAAATAAACAAAAAAAGATAAAACAAACAAAAAGTAACAAAGTAGTGTCCCTTTTCTTGTCTGTCTTGGTTCAACATAAATGCTTCAAGGTTGTATCTGATATAAATTAATTCGTCAGTAATTTTAGTCATTTCATTTGCTTTATTTACTAAACATAGTGTTTTTAAAGTTTTTCTTTTTTTTCTATAATTATATTTTATT